CAGAATATTTATCATAACTTTTGATGGAATGACTGATTTTAATGAAATAAAGACTAAATGTAACCCGAAGATACACTTTATAATTTCCTTAACAATTCTTATGATATAAATTAGTACTTTATACGTGATACGTTAACAAACAAACAGACAGACAGACAGACAGACAGACAGACAGAAAATTCTAAAAATGGTAGAAATGTATTTAATTACTTATTTTTAGTACCCCTTAATCACTTTTATTACAAAAATATAAAATGTACAGACATCTGCTATTTACAGTTTTATTATATGTATAGATTCGGCGACTTAAAGATAATATATAAACATAATAAATTAAATTCGAGTATCGACTGATTAAGTAATCCATTCGACTCTAAACCTCCCAATTAGGGATGTTCGATGACCATCGATGTTAAAAATTAAAACATCGAAAGAGCGAATTAATTATTAATTAATTATATAATTATATAATTAATTAATAATTTAATAAATATTTAATTTATAATTATAATTAATTAATTAATTAAAGAGCTATATTTTATAGTGTCGTTGTCGCATAATAACTATTCTACGTAAATTTATATCCAAGTTGTTAGGGAAAAACCCTTGCTGTGCATACTCACATAATTTTGAAACAATATGTAACTACACATATTATACAAAAAACATCGATAATGGTTAACTCCAACTAGTGACAAACAGTTGCGTCACAAACCGGAAGCAAAACTCGTCAACTACATAAATTAAACTAATTATATAAAAGATTTTTTAAGGTCATTTAAGGTAATAATAAAAAATATGTTTATTTGTGTAAGTAAACATATATTTTATTAAGATCTTAAATTACTTATTTTTTATGAAATATATTCACGGCAATAATTTCTTTTTCATCATATACATGATTATCTATATCTATACAAATAAGTAAAATTGATATGTCTGTTTGTAATGTCAAAATAACAACTGTTTACTAAATTCATACGAAAGTATATACGGTACTAATAACAAAAACACAATTTTTGAAATGTTTGTCTGTCTGTCTGGCTGTCTGTTTGTTCCGGCTAATCTCCGAAACGGCTGGACCGATTTGGATGGGACTTTCACTGGCAGATAGCTGATATTATAAGGAATGAGGCTATTTATATTTTAGAAAAAGCATTAGAGTTCCGCGCAACATAATTAAAAGCCTAAATTACACGCAGGCTAAGTCGCGAGGAACAGCTAGTTTAAGATATTATTAATATCTTAAATTATACATTTTCGATGAAATATATTTCTTTTTCATCATATACATGAGTTTATAAAATAATTTTCCTCAAAAAGTACATTGTTAAAAAGTGTAATAAATAATTTTCTAAACCTAACCACCCAAAATTATGACACGTAAGGGTTCAGTTTAGCTAATTTTGGTACAGAACTAAATAACAGCCTATAAAGTCTCACACAGTTGTCCACAGACCACTAATTAATAACTTCACGGAAATGTATTACGTTTTTAAGATACTTAAATATTCTTTCAACATCGTGCTTGTCGCTGAGAATAGTGATAAATCAATATTGCCCGTGGAAGAAAAAGGCGGTATCTCCCGCCGGGCAAGGTGATCCGCTATTGGAGGTGCCACCGCTCCATGTGGTAATTCTGAGCTATTCTAAGAGTTTTTTTTTTTATAGAATAAGGGTGACACAGTCCACTTGACGGTAAGTGGATGCTGTGGCCCATAAACATCAACATCTATCTTCGATAAGGCATCGAAGAGCAGATGCGTTGTCACCCGTGAGGACTAAAATGAAATAAATCGTGTCCAGTAAAAAGGGTCTCCGGTTCTCTACACTCACCATACGAAACACAGCAGCATTAAGCTGCTATTTTACGCTGGTATTCTATAAGAGCGTGGTTCTACCACGATCGAGTCGACCCATTCGTGCTACAACTAATGCAATATAGGAAACACAGCAGCATTTCGCTGTTATTTGACACTAACATTCTTCAAGAGCGCTGTCCTTCCCCGGTCGAAGTATAACCACACCACGTATGAACGTAGAAACAAAAATAATATAACTTAATTATTGTAAACATTTTCACATTATTATAGTTAGGTCGTGAACAGAAATTTCTAGGTAATTATTTCTTCGCAGCATACTAGAGCTCTAAACAACGCTCAGCTCTACCTTTGCTTAGGTATTGATTTATTTATTGAAAAGATAAATATCTGGTATAAGTAATTACTAACTTATACCTAGGCTTAACGTATTCGTAAAAGACCTAATACACTATATACTTTGTTATTTCTAAATCAATACGGTCGGCTTTTTTTGAAGCCCATAGAAAGACATAATTTATCAAAATAGTTATTTTACTTATGAAAGTATTTTAACTGTATTGTTTTTTATATTTATATAACTAATGCAATAACGGACAGACTTATGAATGGACAGGCGAATGCCTATTGGCAATCTCCGCCAGTATACCATGGTAGCAGATACAATTAATTTTTAATAGTTAATTCTCAAACTATATAAGAAAATACTTAATGATTACTTATAGCGGCAGTAGACTATGCTCCTCTATATAAATAAAATTGATAGAGGTTTGCAGTTGTGCGCGCATCACGGAAAAACTACCGGATAGATTTCAATTAGGTTTTCTAAGTTTTTTCCGTTTTATTCCGTTTCGGGATTCCGTTTCAGAATTCCGATTCGAAATTCCGAACACAGCAAGTTCATATAAAATCTAAGGCCCGTCACACGCGTACGGTAGTTTTCCTTTCGAAAATTTGCGGGCAGAAGCGGCGGGATTCCGTATGTGTGTGGCTGACCCGCTCGAAATTCCGAAACGGAATCCCGAAACGGAATTCCGTATGTATGTGGCCGGCTTAATGTTGTGCTTCGTAAGTTGCGTATAAACAAAGAGAGATCCTTTTTACTGTTAGGCCGGCCACATACATACGGAATTCCGTTTCGAGATTCCGTTTCGATATTCCGGTTCGGAATCCCGAACGCAGCAAGTCCATATAAAATCTATGACCTGCCACACACGTACGGTAGTTTTCCGTTCGATATTTTGCGGGCAAAACGGGATTCCGTTTGTGTGTGGCCGACCGTTCGAAATTCCGAAACGGAATCTCGAAACGGAATTCCGTATGTATATGGCGGGCCTTAAAGAGGCATTTGTATTTATTCGATTGTATTTAATCGATTACTTAATCTTAACTTAATCGAGTAGCGCACAGCATTCACTAACCATGAACGTGGATGGATATAACAGTAAAGATTAGAAAGTAGGCCTAAGAAAATGCGTAAGAAAGAGTGAGTTAAGAGATGACGGCTGAGAGACGAGATTGAAAGAAGAAAACATGTTATGCCTACCCTAAATAACTTGAGATTAGCGCAAGAAGCCGAAAAAGATTTACTTACTTACTTTACTACTTACCATCAGATGTTAACATGGTAGAGCCATGCTGCAGCTACATTAATAGTATAGTTGTAGCACGCATGGGTCGGCTCGACCGGGGAAGGACCACGCTCTCACAGAATACCAGCGTCAAATAGCAGCTTAATGCTGCTGGGTTTCGCATGGTGAGTGTAGAGAACCGGAGACTCTTTTTACTGGAAAAGAGACATTTTATCTTAGTACTCACGTGTGACAACGCATCTGCATTTTAATTCGCAATCTAAGATAAATGTAGATGTTTATGTGCCTCAGCAACCACTTACCATCAGGTGGACTGTGTGCTCGTTTGTCACCCTTATTCTATAAAAAAAGGTGGAATACCCTGCCAGCGTCTGTTTTTCCGAGTGTATATAACCTTAACCTCTTCAAGGTGCGTGTTAAGAGGCTTCTCCTGAGTGAACTCGCTCCATTATAGACCTCATCGTTGGCCTCGGGCCAGATGGAAGTCAAGAGTCAAGAGTGAACCCATTTTTAATTTAAAAAAGGTGGACTGTGTGCTCCGTTGTCACCATAATTTTTCTACAAAAGCTGACCAATGATGGTTTATAATCTAACGCTCGACAGATGTCGCTAGTTGGGACTAAAGTGAACTTACTTGTTATTACTTGTAATTTTTAACTTCTTTTTAATTCTTCTACTTTTATGAATATGTGTAGTTATCCGTAATTTATCAAATTTTAATCTAATTCATATAAAATATAACTAATATAATAGAAAGAAACATTAATCTCTACACTTTTCTATCAAATCAACTTGAAATTTTACATTAATGGTTGGTACAAAATTTATTTTAGAAACAGCTTGGAGGCGACCACCTCATTCCCAGGAGTTATTATCAACCATAATCATTTATACTATAATAATCCCTTTTATACAGTTTCAACTTAACAAAATATTTAAACTTGATAATAGAGAGAGCCTGTACACTTTCCGGGACCTTGTTGTAATAGCGTATACATTGCCCCAAGAATGAATTACTGACTCTGTGGAGTCGAGAAACTGGTATCACTAGCTTGTGTTTGTTCCTAGTGTTTACAGAATGTATATCATTTTTTTGTAAATATCAGTGTGGCTCAGGATCATTCCTTGAGAGAGGCCTATGTTCAGCAGTGGACTTGTGAAGGGCTGTAATGATGATGGTGAAGATATTTCTCTATATCGTGAACACAATTTGATGATGCTTTTTTATTTGAAAGCTAATGCTTCTCTTATGTTCTCATATAAATTTGATCAAAGTCTGACCAGTAGTTTTTGAGTTATCCTTAATAATTTATATTGAAATCGATTGTACAAAATTTTTAATTTCACCACTTGTTCAGTGGCGTCGTCACGGTGGCAGAAAAAGCCGTTAATGCCGACATTCATGCACTTGAATTTACATAATGAATTTAAAATAGGAATAATTAAGAGGGCCCTGTGGCTGTTCTTATCCCTGAAACACAGTATTTCTTTTTTACCTGCGATTTAATACTCACGTAATTGGTAACTTAATTTAATTTAACAGGTAATTTGCACGTTGATTATTCTCAGCTATAATAACTGCTTTCAGGTGCACTCTTCGGTGGAATGGCGGGAGGGGCAGCCATGAGACACGGACGTCGCAGGGTACTGTCTCTAGCGGCGGCACCCTGCAGCGTCTCCTGGCTCCTGACAGTGGTGGCGACGTCAGTCAGGATGATGTGCATCACGGCGTTCCTCGGCGGTTTCTGCTGTTCTATTCTCACCATGCTGTCTCAGGTATGTCTGAATTAATAGAATAGAATAGAGTAGAATTTTATTCAATATAGACTACAAGAATCTTATTGAAATTCGTTTAAGTTTTACCACTGGTTCGGAAAAAAACTTCTGTCCTGGGAACAACCTGCAAGAAACCGAGCGGAGCTTTTTTTTCAAACATTAATGTACAATGTAATATTTTATACAAGTATTATCAATTTATTAAAGGGGTTATCAATCATGTACTCTTTAGTAGTATAATAACCCTTATTAAACAATTATCTAATATATAAAAATAAATTTTTGTTTGTTCGTATTTTATGCGCTGCCATACCGTTCATCAGACTGCGCTAAAACTTTGTCAACTTATTGCTTGCACTTTCGCGAAGGTTATAAGTATAGTACTTATAACTTACAGTAGATGGCGCGAGTATCGCAACAACAAATTTGAATTTGAAAGTTAATGAATGTGCTACCATTCCTAATTAAACTATACAACTCTTCTAGATTCAAATAATATTTCGCGTTATAATTAACAAGTCGCCTTATAAAAATTTTAAACTTTTTGATAGATAGGTAGGTCCCGCATATTTTCTGGTACTTTGTTGTAAAGAGCGTAAACATTGCATCATGAAAGAATTACCAACTCTTTGGCGTCGAAGTAACTGGTATAACCAGCTTGTGCAATGAGTTACTAAATAGTTAATTTATAGAATCGGATATGTAAAGCAGACAACCGTTTTTGGGTCCACTAGAAATACATTTTATTATAGTAAACGGTCCAAAGATTTTATGAATGTCTAACCGGAATCATGAAATCTGAAAAAAATGGTGATCCTGCAGGCCATCCCTGGAAATTCGCTAATATTCGAGCGCAACGCTCGAAAATCTTTTTTTTGTAGGATAGGGTGACAAACGAGCACACAGTCCACCTGATGGTAAGTGATTGCTGTGGCCCATAGACATCTATCCTTAATAAAGAATCAAAATGGAGGTGCGTCGTCACCCGTGAGGACTAAGATGGAATGCCTCTTTTCCAGTAAAATGGGTCTCCGGTTCTCTACACTCACCATACGAAACACAGCAGTGTTAAGCTGCTATTTTACGCTGGTATTCTGTGAGAGCGTGGTCCTTCCCCGGTCGAGCCGACCCATTCGTGCTACAACTCTAATAATATAGCTGCATCATGGCTCTACCACATAAAAATCTATGTTTTTAGTTTTTTTGGTTTTATTTTTTGAAAATCTTTGAAACGGCTCGACCGATTGACATCCATATCAAATCAGCTCGAAGTCTCAATGAACACTTTCAAACGATCGGTTGTTTCGTTCTAAAGATATTGTACGACAAAATTTGTATGCAAATAAAAATTACATACACACACGGCCGAATGTCCAGCCGGGAACAGTCGGAACGGCTTCCTAGGACCTCAAGACGTGGATATCTGATGATAACTCACAAGTTGAAAATTGGGCCGAAATCTTCACTTTTAAAAAATATTAATTTTCAAAGCGGAAAGTTAAAAAAAATTCTATTGATATTCGTGTTCTGACCAATGTAATATGAAAAAAAAGTTTGCTTTTAGTTTATTGCGATATTCATATTTTATTTCTTAATTTCTCTGTAATCCCGTTAGATGCAGTAAAACTAATATTACTATTGTAATTTACGGATTATAAGGAATAAATCGACATGCATTTCAATAAGTTACGCTACAATTTGTGGTGGGCTCATTCTCCATACAAAAAGAAGTTGTCTCCTATATTATATGCATACATTCATTCACTTATTATAGCCTGTCAAAAGTCCAAAGCCGAACATAGGCTTCCCCCATAGGTTGCCTATTAGGGGGATATTTGCCATAGTTGAAACACTTGTCAGGCGGGTCCCCAGTCCCCACCTTTTCACGTCAGTTAAATGGCGTCTACTGATAAGATGTATAAAGTTATGAAAACACACAACGAAAACAACGCTTTCAGATCATGCCAGAGCCATGGAGGTTTTAAACCAAACTTAACTAATATAGTGCACCAACTGAAAGTAGGTAGGTACCTAATAACATACACATAAATTAAAAAAAAACTAAAAAAATTAATAATGGCCGCTTAAACAAATTAAAAAATAAAAAATGAAAAAAAAGCAAATGTAAAATTAAAATAAGGGTAATTAATTATCTATGCAAAGTTTTAATTTTAATAAATTGTTCGCAGCTATAAATATGACATTGACATTGATAGAGTTATTACCTTTGATCGTCAATTCTCCAAATTTAAAGTCTATTCAAATTGGAGGGAAAGGTCTTTCGCTTTGATATTTTAATATAAAAGAAACCCAATTAGAGCATGAACAATGGAAACAAATCCGCTTCAAATAAACGTTATCAGTAATTACAATATTCTTAATAAAACGTTCAGTTGTAATTTATTTATTACAGGCTAAAATAAGGCTTGTATTAAATTGCGCCATTTTCATTGATGACGTTAGGGTGACCATTATTATTTTTGAACTCCGGACGGTATACGCAACGCCAGTTGCGTACCAATCTACGAACAATTATACGAATAATTTTTTTAATAAAATTGATGTGACAAGCGACCTTAGATTTCACCTGACAAGAGTGGTTCTTAACCTTTTAGTGATGAGGGACCATTTGACTAATTTTTGGCTTACCATGGATCACCAACTTTTAGGCGTAGTATAAAATAAGGTAAGGTCGCATTTTTATGTTTGTTATATAAACAAAACACACCAAAATGAATGTGTGACATCATTACGTGCCCCTTATTTTAATGTAAAGTACTAACCGTATCGGTAGAATTCGCAAACCGACCATCGTTTCCAAAAATGTTGTACACTTTTTTATACTTGAGATAATAGAGAAGTTGGTTGTTTTTTAATTGTTTTTAAAGTTTACTAAAAATTATTAAGAAAATTAAAAAAAAACAAGTGAATTAAAAATCGTTTTTCTAAAATGTAAATTCAAACGCCAGTGACGTCGTTATATTGCTTAGTAACGTCATGGCTTGGTTAAATGATAAAACGCGTTTTTACGTTGCCTAAATTAAAAAAAAATTGTCATTGCATAATACAGATTATATAATATGTTTTGCTATGACACCTGGTGATCCGAATATAGAAAATATAAAAGTTCAGCATGATTGCAATTGACTCACAGCCTTAACGGTTATAATAACGTCACAAAAATGTAACTATTTTTATATTAATAACTAGCTGTTCCCCGCGACTTCGCTCGCGTGTTATTTGGGGTTTTAATTTTTTTGCGATGAACCCAAATTCTTTTTCTAAAATAAATGTAGCCTAAGTTACTCCTTGTGACATCAGCTATCTGCCAGTGAAAATCCCATCAAAATCTGTCCAGCCGTTTCGGAGGTTAGCCGGAACAAACAGACAGAAAGACAGACAGACAGAAAGACAAAAACTTTAAAAATTGTATTTTTGTTATTAGTACTGCATATACTTTCATATGCGTTTAGTAAAAAGCTGTAATTTTTACATTACAAACAGACACTTTTATTTATTTGTATAGATATTTGTATAGATTACTAAAAAAAAAGCAAATGTTACTAAAAAAAAAATATTATTTAAATATGCTTTAAATGAATTATTCTTTCATTTATATATAAATTTGTGTCAAGAAAAATTATGCAACTTCTCTATTGTATGATTCCTCCGCGGTCCACATTAGGTGCCTTCAGCGACCACAAGTGGTCCACGGATCACTGGTTAAGAACAATTGCTACAGACAGATACATCCAACCAACTTCAAACTATTTGAAGATTGTGCTTTTGTAATACATTTTATATCTACTTTTATAACCTCCAGTGCCCTAGAACTGCAGCGTAAAATGTACTCGTATATACAGGGTTATTTTGCAATAACCGGTCAAATTGGCAGAGTAGGTTCAGAACAAGTAATAACCCTGTACATATATAAGAGATACACATACATATATATAGTACATTTATACAATGTAGGTATTATTAACAATAGATTTCATATAAAGGACAATATTTATCAACCAAATTATATCAAATTTCTGTCATGACAACGGCTGAGCTCATTATTATATAATCAAATAGAATCCAATTGTGTGCATATTTTTCAACAAAATAAATTATTTAGGTCACAATTTCATACTGCATACTCGTATAAATCCTTAAATGCGTAAAAAAGTTTTGAGGGTCATTTAGCGGGATAAAAACTATCCTATCTCTCAAGTTGGACCAAAAGACTGAAAAAATTTCATTGAAATCAGTTCAGTAGTTTAGGAGTCCATCGCGGAAAAACAACGTGACACGTAATTTTTATATATTAAGATTACGGGTAAAAGCAGATGATTCTTCAGCGGTTGCCTGGTAAGTGAAGTGTTCGAGCGGAACCCACTAGACGTAATAACGATCTGGTAAGACATTCAGGAAGTCGATGGATGCAGGTGGCTACAAACTGTGATTTGTGGCATTCCTGTGGGAGGCCTATGATCAGCAGTGCAATTGTGAGGAGCTATAATGATGATGAAGATGAAAAGCCCACATATGGTTGCACCTAGGTTTAGCTGGCTACAGCTGGCTGCAGCCAATTACGGTTGGTTAAACCTAAGTGTGGACCACAGCAACCATTTACCATCAGGTGGACTGTTTATTTGTTCGTTTGTCACTCAGATTCAGCAGTAGACAATTGCTACCAGATGGATTGTCAATTCGTTTCTAACTTAAATGTTATAAATAAAAAAATATTTGCGCAGTCTGAGGTTTTTAATGTATTTACTCGTATTTTTAGGGTTACGTACCTCAAAAGGAAAAACGGAACCCTTATAGGATCACTTTGTTCTCCGTCTGTCTGTCTGTCCAGACCCTTTTTCTCAAGAACGCGTGGAGGTATCAAGCTGAAATTCATATCAAATACTCAAGTCTACTGTCCCTTGGAGCTGTGAAAAAATCAAACTTCTAAGCCAACGCAATCAAAGATCCAGCCGTTTATGCCGCAAATTTTCGACATTCGC